GCTGCTGCGCTGAGCGTGCCCTGTGCGTCCCGCAGGCGCTTCGGGACCAAGTGCGCCGCATGCCAGCTGGGCATCCCGCCCACGCAGGTGGTGCGCCGTGCCCAGGACTTCGTGTACCACCTGCACTGCTTTGCCTGCGTCGTCTGCAAGCGGCAGCTGGCCACGGGAGACGAGTTCTACCTCATGGAGGACAGCCGGCTCGTGTGCAAGGCGGACTACGAAACTGCCAAGCAGCGAGGTCAGCGGGAGGGGACGACGGTCACCCGGGCTGGCCTCAGCAGGGCCCCCAACCCTCCTTTCGTGACCTGGAATATGGGGCTAAGGCCAGTCTCGGGTGGGGCCTTGGTGGAACCCTCATCACTAGCGCCTACGGCGGGTGCTCAGCAAGGGGGCCTGGGGCTCCCATTTAGGTGCTTCCTCCGGACTAGGGCGGCGCCCACACTCAGAGAGGGATAGTTAACGGGCTGCCGGCGGGGGAAGGCAGGGTCTGCAATCTTAGCGGCAGCTTCATTAGCAGGGAAGGTGGTTTGAACTACTCAGATTATCACCCTTGGTCTGAATTATCCCCTAAATCCTTGACCGTGAACACTTGGCCTGACGCACACCCTTAGAATAAAGGGGAACGGGGTGGGGGAGCGGGCCAGCGGGTTCTTCGTGAAGCACTCACCCCTGCAGTGGACCCCCTCGGCCCCTTCCCCGCTCTGGTGCGTCCCATTTTCTCCAGTTGAAGCCAGTGCCCTGCCCCCACCACCGGCTGCGGCAGGTCGGCCTGGAGCCCCTGGCCGGGTGGGGGGCGGGGAGCAGGCATCTGGGGCCCGACGTGCCGGCTGGGGTGGGACACGGTTGGGCCCGGCTGGGGGCCGGAGGGGGCAGACGGCCTCACCGCTCGCCCCACACGCAGAGGCCGAGGCCACGGCCAAGCGGCCGCGCACGACCATCACGGCCAAGCAGCTGGAGACGCTGAAGAGCGCCTACAACACCTCGCCCAAGCCGGCGCGCCACGTGCGCGAGCAGCTGTCTTCTGAGACGGGCCTGGACATGCGTGTCGTGCAGGTCAGCACTGGGCGCCACCCGGGCCACGCCTGGTCCCGCTCCGTCCCTGCTGGGTTCGCGTCCCTGCCACTCTCAGGGCAGCAGGTGGCTCCCAGGCTCAAGGCCCTGCGACCTCCCAGCAGAGACTTTCCCAGCAGAGCAGGGAAGCCTGGTGTCTGCATGTCCCAGAGACCCCGGCCCCCTAGCAGCCACTCACCCGCCCCCACCCCTCAGGTTTGGTTCCAGAACCGCCGGGCCAAGGAGAAGCGGCTGAAGAAGGACGCGGGCCGGCAGCGCTGGGGACAGTATTTCCGCAACATGAAACGCTCCCGCGGCAGCTCCAAGTCAGACAAGGACAGCGTCCAGGAGGGCCAGGACAGCGATGCCGAGGTCTCCTTCACTGGTACGGGGGACCCCCGGGCTGCACCGCGGGCTGCCACTCAGGCGGAAGGAGCTCCGGGGAGGGGAGGGCATAGGCGTGGTTGGCTGCAGGGAGCTTGGACGTCTGAATTCCTGGTTAGTGGATTCTTGGGCTCTTTCAAAAACATGTCACTTACAGACCCTGGGCCCCCATCCCGAAGCCCCTAGTTGGGCACTCAGGACCACTGCTCTTCCCTAGCTGGGGGTAGAGCCGCTGTGGCCTGACCTGACTCTAAGCTAGGCACGTGCTGCGCTTTCTCACGGGGCAGCGGCCGGACTCTCTCTGGCTCCCAGCCCTTGCAGTGACTTTTAGGAGAAAGGGCAGCACATTTTGGGGGCAAGTTTAAAGATGAAAAGTCCCGTCTGCTTGGTGTTGGGGAGGGGAGAAGGTTCCACCCTCCTCTGTGGGACCCAGTTTCTCATCTCACTCTCTGGGCCCAGGGATGCCGCATCCCACCTCAGTGCCACCTCAGAGGGCGTGCACAGGAAACCGTCTTTGGGCTGCGCTGTGGCCTTAGGCTGCCCACCCGGCCTCTCCAGACATACATTTCCTGTCTGCAAAGTGCAGGCGGTGTCCGCACCCCTCCCGGGGCTGCCTTGGGGACTGTCCCGGAGGGCACGGCTGGGGGCTGGCGCTGACCAGAGCCCTCTGCTTCCCTTGCAGATGAGCCCACCATGGCTGAAATGGGTCCTGCCAACGGCCTCTACAGCAGCCTGGGGGAGCCCACCCCAGCCCTGGGCCGGCCCTCGGGAGCCCTGGGCAGCTTTTCACTGGAGCATGGCGGCCTGGCTGGCCCGGAGCAGTACCGAGAGCTGCGCCCCAGCAGCCCCTACGGCGTCCCCCCATCCCCCGCTGCCCCACAGAGCCTCCCCGGCCCCCAGCCCCTGCTCTCCAGCCTGGTGTATCCCGACGCCAGCCTGGGCCTTGTGCCCTCAGGGGCCACAGGCGGGCCCCCGCCCATGAAGGTGCTGGTGGGGAACGGACCCAGCTCCGACCTGTCCACTGGGAGCAGCGGGGGTTACCCCGACTTCCCTGCCAGCCCGGCCTCCTGGCTGGACGAGGTGGACCACGCGCAGTTCTGACCGAGGCCGGGCTCCACCCAGCACCGGACACGAGGGGTCTTGGCGGCACTGCCCCCGGGTGGGCAGCTTGGGGCTTCATGGACCGCCGCCGAGGAAGGACGTTGGCGGGTCTGGTGTCTGCAGAGCCTCCCACGGCCCTGGGGCTGAGGGACACTCCGGCCCCTCCTCGCCGGGTGTCCAGGTGCGTGGAGGGGTCCCCAGCAGGCCGGGGACTCTGGGACCTTGTTTCGTAAGCAAACTGCTCCCCTCTATCAACCAACCAACTGAGCACTTGCTGCGGTTTCTAGACATGAAATGTCGCCCCTCGAGGCCAGGCCTTCGGACGGTCAGGCCCAGCCCAGACCAGCACAGCCCAAGGGCTGGAAAATGCTTTCATTTCTAAAATTAAAAAACAATAATTTTGCTTTCACCCCCGGGCTCTGTATGTCTCTTGAGTTGTTGGCCCCTCAGCGCCCCCTTCAGGTCAGAGATGGGCCTTTCTGTCCAGGCGGGAAGCAGCAGCGGGGTGCAGAGTGGGGCCACGGCTCTGTCCCCCGTGGTCACTGGCAGACTCCCTGCCACCAGCCCCTCCTCCCCCGGGAGCCTCCACCCCACTTCCCCAGTCTCAGGCCTTTCTGTTCCTGAGCATCCGGGGAGGAGGCGGAAATCCCTGGGCCCCTCCCTCCAAGATCCATTCTTCAAGCCCACAAGGAGCTCCTCCCCCAGCCCAGACTGTTCCATTCGTCCCCTCCCCCTACGTCAGAGCCGTCCCCAGGCCCCGGTGTCCAGGCCGCGCCTGCAGATGTCCGTTGCCAAACTGCATGCCCTGGCGGTCTGGGCGGCTCTGCCGGGCAGGCTGGGAATTCTCCCCCGCTGGAGGGGGTGGGGCAGAGGGCCCTTCTGAGCCCGCCCCGCCCCCTCTATCAGACACTTCCAAAAGAAGTTTCTGGGAGACGCCTGCAGCTGTGCGTGCCCCAGACACAAAGGCTGGCGGGTGTGCGAGTCAGCCGTTCCCGTAAACCTGAATCTGAGCTACCTATTGGTTCTGCGAATGCCCCACGTCTTTTATTTATTCTCGGGTGTCAGCTCTTTCCAAGACTTCAATAAATTTGTGGGTTACAGTCAGCGGAAGGCCTCTGTCGTTGGTGAGGCGCGGTGGGGGGGCCGGTGCTGGGGGGGGGCACAGTTCTTTGAAAGTCGAGACGCAGTGCCGGCCAGGAGGAGCCACTGGTTCCTCGCCTGGACACCTGGCGTGGATTCGGGCATCCTCTCGGCCCTGGATCTCGGTCGCAGCTCTGGGCACTGCAAACAGGTGTGAGAGGACAGACTCCACGCGTGCTGGGGGGGAGGGGCTGGAGTCTCCCCACTCTGTCCCTGGAGAGCTGCTTAGCTCGGCCAGGGACTATGGTCTACTGCTCAAAGCTTGCAGCTGGCACCAGCCCCAAACAGGGAGTGCTGGCGTCGGCAGGTAGGGTGACTCAGGCACGGAGGTCTCTCCAGCTTGGATTCCAGTCCCAGCTCGGCTGCTAACTTGCTGTGTGAGCCTGGGCTGGTGACTTGGCCCCTCTGAGCGATGCTCTCCTCCCTGAAAAGAGAAGACAGTCCCTTCCAAGGCGAGACAGGTGAGTGCGCTGTGCGGAGTGGCAGAAGCACTGGGCGGGGCACCCCCAGTCTTCCCTGCTGCAGGATGGGAGGGTCTCTCCCTTAGGGTCTCTCTCTGGGGCAGAAAGGAGGAGTCATGTTGGAGCCCCTTTCTCAGTGGAGGAGGGAGGGAAGGTTGGCTGGCAGGAGGGGCTGGGGGAGGAGCTCTCTTGGGGACCTTGGAGCTGTCCCCAGTCCCTCCTACCACCCAGGGTAAGGAGCCCCCTTAGGGCGTGGCCAAGAGGAGCTGCTCTGAGCCACTGGGCCTGAGTTCCCCTCTTCTGCCCCCCCAGTCTCCCCAGTGCCAGCCGTATTCTGGGAGGACTGTCAGGAACTTCCTTTCCTGAGTCCCACAGCTGCTGTGATGTCCCCCTACCCAACTCATAGATGAGGAAGCTGGGGGGGCAGGAGGGGAGGGAGAGGGGTCAGTCCCCAGTGCATGCAGGCTTGCGGGCCTGGCAGTGATGGAACTGGGGCAAAACGGCTCTGAGAGACATCACAGAGGACAGGCTGCCTGGCCACCACTGGCCTCTGGGTGTCCACAGACTGCTGTGTCCCGGGGGCTGAGCTTGGGCAGGTGCTAGGACTGTTCATTCCATAAACTCGATTCCAAACTCCGCGGTGGCCCACGCAGCCCCTGCCTGCAGGGAGACTGAGGCCCGAGGGGGAAGGGCCTGTCCCCAACTGGGGGAGGGGCACTGCCCAGGCGGCCCCGGGGCTTCAGCCTGGTGCCCCCAGCCCCGCTCCCAGCGAGGACCATGGCTGCCACCCCGGGCCGCGCAGCCCCAGGAGTTGGCGAGTAGGGGACGCAGGAGGGGACATGGCCACGGCCTCGCCTCCCCGAGGGAGGTGACCCGGGTGGAGCCGAACCGCAGCCCAGCGGGGAAGCGGCGGGACCAGACGAGGGTGGCCCGGCCGGCAGGGAGGGAGGCGGCCCCAGGGTGGGTGCGAGCGCCGGCCCCGCCCCAGCCGCCGGGACTCGGCGCTGACAGGTTAATAAAGTGCGGGCGTCCCGCGGGGCCCTCGCCGGTTGGCCGCCCTGCCCTGCCCGCCCCAGCTGGCGGCAGAGTCCAGAGCCGATTCCCGCCCGGGGGTTGGGGGGAGGGAGAAGGGGGCAGGCGGAGGCGGGGTGGGAGGGGGAGCCGCACGGAGGCCCCGCCCGGGAGCGGGCTGGGGGGGCCTGGCCCACGGGGCTCAGCTGTGTCGGGTCTCCGTCACCCCAGGTCCCATGACCTCGCTCGCCTCAGTTTCCCTCTCTCAGCGGAGCGGGCGCCGCCTGGCCTAATCCGATCCGCCCCGCGCCCCGGGGGCGGAAACGCAGGCGGATCCCTCCGGGTCTGGTCCCGGCCGGGCCGGGCGCGGCGAGAGCTCAGCCCGCAGGCAGAGAGACCTCGGACGGGGACGGGTGAAAGGGAGGCGACCCGTCCTGCCGGGCCCGGGCCCGCCACGCTCGCGTGGAGGCGACTCGCCGTGGACAACCGAACGCGCGCGCCGTCCGCGGGAATCGGGGTTCCCGGCGCCCCGTTTCCCCGCGGAGCCAGGCCTGGGGGACGGAGCGAAGTCTGAGGTCCCCGGGCCTGGGAGCGGGGCCGCCCCGCTGAGGGACCGAGCGGGCGAGGGCTCCGGGGACCGGCGCCCCTGCGTGCGCCCTGCGCCCTGCGCGCCAGCAGTTTTGCCTTTTCCTCCCGGTGGTCGCGCCAGGGACCCCGCCCAGGGGCGGCGCGGGTCTGACCAGGGAGGACCGGCCCTTGCCCGGGACCGGGGCCGCGGAGCTGCGGGCGGGGGGCGGCGCGGCAGGGCCGGGGAGGGGCGGCGCGTGCACCGCTTGGCTTGCTGGCGTCTGAGTCCGGCAGCGGTGTTGCATCATCAAACGTAGATGCCCGAATAATAAAAATAATTCCAACCGACACATGAAAGGGTTTCTTTCCTCTTAGATATAAAATTCTCATAAGGGGCTTCTTCTAGCCCAAGGGCCCCTCCCAAATCTGGGGTCCCTGAGGACTTGCAGCACCCCCTCCCTCCCTGAGACCAGGGACACGCCCCTCCCCCTGCCATCTGCCAGCAGGTCCGGCCTCGCGTGGACAGGCAGGGACTGGGCGGTCCAGACGGGGGTGGGGTGGGGTCGCCGGGTTGAGCAGCAACACTGATAAATCCCCAGGTTTTCAAAGGAATCAGTCTGGGTCGCTAAGTCCCAGGGGCTGTAATGATCAATTCTTTAAGCCCATAATTGTTCAAATTACTCTGAGCAACATAAAACATTAATTTTAAGAAATTTAATAGAAAAAAGCTCTTTAAATCCACAACGAGATAAATGGCACCCAGTATGGCGACCTCTTTCCACACCTTGGTGACATTGAATAATCTGAAAGTTATTTACATTTTCATTCTTTGTGGAAAATGTTGACAAGCTTTTGGCCGTGGGTGCGGTGCGAGGCGGTGCCGAGCGCCCCCTCCCCCCTAATTAATGGGGGAGCCGCGGCTTCACAAGCAGGATTCTCATCCGTCTGCCCGTGCGACCTCGGTGACGGCGCCCACACTCCTGGAGCTGATGCAACCGGCTCATTTTTTACCATAAAAATATTCCATCCTGTCCAGCGGAGCCCCCTCCCTCCTGGCATTCAAAAGTAGGGAGCGATTAAGAAGCAGCTGTCACCTTGGGGCAATATGGATGGAGTCCAAGGCCAAACCTGGGAGAAAACTCCGGTTCTGCAGCCCCCGCTTCGTGTGAGGGTGCATGCAGCGTGTGTGGCCCCTGACGCCACAGGGCCTCCAACCCTGAGTTCCGTGTGCTCCCCCAACAGGGCTGGTGAGCCATCCCCCAGCGCCAGGCGGCCCACCCAGCCGCACCTGCAGAGCTGGGCTGGGCTGGGTCCAGGAGCCCAGGAGACTCGGGTGGGCCACCCTGGGCTGCCTGCGGCCCCACACGTCCGTCATCGAATGTCCGTCCCTAGCCACCTGGTAGAGCCAGGCACCAGAGCACAGGCTTGGCCAATTCCCCCCTCATCCTTCTCATCCAAGCTGTGCACTCCACATGCTGTGTGACCTTGGGCGAGTCACTCGGCCTCTCTGAGTCTGCAAAGAGCAGCAAATACAACCTCCTTTCCTGGGGTTTCTGCAGGGCTTCCTGAGGCCAAGTCCAGGATGAAGCACACACACTGACACATTCATGCACATGTGCACACTCACCATCTCTAAGAGGTGACACCCCCCACCTCTCAGACTGACGTCCCACTCACACTCTCCCAGAGGCAGGCACGTGAGCTGTGGTGGCTGAGGGTCCTTGTCTGGGTTTCTTCCTGCTTGCTCATTGTCACGGAGGCCAAAGTAGCCGTGGGTCCCCCGCCCCAGGCTGGGTCAGGCCACACCTGCTGGAGGCAGGA